CTTGCTAGTTAGTTCAGTAGGGTGTTTGCAAGCTATTCTTTCCAAGCATTACAGAGTTCTACATGTCACATTTTCTTGCTTTGAGTATTTGCATTTCTTTTACAATATGATACTGCAAAGATGCATCACTCTCTCAGATGTTGGATGTTTTAACTTATTTTGCACCTCTTTTTATTTTGTGAAGACGATGGCTGCTGGGGATTACTAAACACACCGCTTGATTAATTTACTAATACTTTGCCTTGGCCAGGATGATGACGATAATATCACTCGCTTTTTGATACTTGCAAGAGAACCGATAATTCCAGGGACTGACCGGCCATATAAGGTGTAAACCTTTGCTTTGTTTTGTTTTATTTTATTTTATGTATCTTTGTTTTCCTTTAATCTTCTGAATATTTATTTATAAATTTTCTTCATAGACGAGCGTTGTTTTCACTCTTGAAGAAGGTCCTGGTGTACTATTTAAAGCCTTAGCAGTATTTGCTCTTAGGGGCATTAACTTGACAAAGGTAACCTTAGGTAATCATTTTTTGTTTTCTTTCATGCTCACCCACTGTGTTTAGCTTTTTGACAAATCTTCTCCTTTTGGAGCAATTTCAGATAGAGAGTCGCCCACAGAAGCAACGTCCACTAAGGGTTGTGGATGATTCAAATGAAGGGAGTGCCAAGTGAGTGGCACTAAGTATATAATATGATAAGTTTTACATATCCGCACCAGTATATACAGAACAGACAGGTCATGATATGACTCTTAATATGGGTAAGGTCGCTACAAAATGACATTCTACAGATTGATTGATCGATCTGTTTTGGCAGGTATTTCGACTACCTCTTTTACATTGACTTTGAAGCTTCTATGGCAGAGCCCCGTGCCCAATATGCTTTGGGACATCTGCAGGTCGGTCTCATATCATTTAGATGCATGTTCTTTATTTTCTCAACTTTCAAAAACTTTTATTTTGTGCCGGAGGTTTTGCCACATGGTGACACACTTAAGCTTGAAATTACAATGTCTTCCTCTGAAACCTCTCCACCCCTCAGTATAAAGCATTGGTGATTTAAGGGTGAATTGCTTTCTTTTGCAGGAATTTGCAAGATTTCTTCGTGTCCTTGGTAGCTACCCAATGGACACGATTCCATAGAAGGCAGTCGTTTCTTGGGCTCAATTTCGTAATGGTTTTGGTTTCCAGACATGCAAACACAGTTCAACCTTCAATGTTGTATATATCTGGGCGCTGAAACTGCATACACAGATCAAGCTTCAAATGAGGAGACAATTCCTCTCAAAGCTTCATTTTTCTTTCCTTTTCGACTCTATATCATTCTTTGTTTCCTCCGAACGGGGGTTTTTACTGTTTCAGGACTGTCATGATATCTTGATACAACACCGGGAGGGTCCCTCCCGACTACCCAAAGTACAATCTGTAAACAATACCTCAGGATTCATGGAAGACAGATTTGTGTGTTACGACTAAAGACAGTTTGTGATGCTTTCTGCTTTGTGTCTATCATCATTTCACTTGGTTCTTAGGTGTTCGCCCTGCAATCTCTTCCTCGGGATTATAGAGTAGAAAATCCGTTCAGAAAATATGAAACTCTGAAGCTCTATCAATTCGGTAAGACGAGAAATATCGTAATGATGGCGAGGTTGCAAATCCGTGACCAACTGAAAACAGTAATGAGTAGGCTCAGCGAGAGACTGCTGAGAGAACTGTTGAGAAAGACGCTCCCACATTTCATGAGAAGTGGACTGCCCAACTATCAGAGAAATGATTGGTTCAGTGAGAGCAGCACAAAGCATGCTAGTAAGTGTCCGATCCGTCTGATGCCAGACCAGGTAAGTCCGTTAGGGGAGGAGGTCACCACCGGAGGGACAACTCAGAGGCATCAGATCAGCAGAGCCGGCAAGGGCTGCCGCATGTAAGAATTCCTACCACTAGATGGTGAAGGTCAAGTAATATTCATAATATGTGATAAAATATCAGCGATCACAAAATTCGCGCGGGCGCAATTTCTAACCATGAGTCCAACAACAACGTTAAACTAGACAAACAGAGTAAACGTTAAACCAGACAAACAGAGTAATAGCCGTGAAATCCCATTAAACATTACAACCAAAGCAACACAAGTGCCTATTACAAAAGACGAACAAGCATATCATACTAATAGGGAAACTGGATCATCTTATTCATGGGAGATGGACTCTCTATCCACGTCTTTACTACTCTCACTTCATTGCAACTACTCTTGCTTACGGCTGCAGTTCCTTCATGAAATCTTAGTTGTCAACCATGACCTGCAAGCACAACGTCAAGAACCGAAGTAATGAGCTCAATGGCGAGTGCTGCAACGTGCAAACATTTTCACAAGTGGGAAAAGTTAAACCGGCGCTCGGGCCTTCAATCTTTCAACTATAGATTAGTTACATCGTACATGCCACTCCTTGTCCTTGTCCCCGATAAAATTAACTAAATTGAGATTATAACTATTGTCAACCACTGGGATGAAAGCATATTAACACGTTCTATTTTTTCTTTGCACTTCAATGTTCCAATATCATACGAAATGTAACAATAAAACAATGATGCATATGATAAAAGATCAAACACCTAAATAGAAAGTTGAGCGACAAGTAAACAAGTGAAAACTCACAGTTTTCCAGCCATCGGGATCGAGAAAAGAGGTGATCTTGGTGTTGAGTCCAAGAATCGATCCTGGCTGTCTGGTTATCTTTCCTCCAAGCTCTTGTGTAACCAAATCGACAGCCTCAGCACTTTTGTAGACATCATCAGTACTGATAGCAATCTGGTATATGTAGACACAAACGTATGAGGACAGCAGAAGTTGTTTGAGAATTAAACGTTTTTAAAAGGACAAAATATGGAATAAGTTGCAAAACAAGTCAACCTGTGCATACGCATTTCCTTTGGTGTATTCGGTCACACCATAGTTATAGGTCAACTCCAAGATAGTTGTTTGGTCTTCTTCTTTATATCCCAAAATGGCTATAGTGTACTGTAAAATGGATGCAACACGAAAACACGGGAAGATTCAGTAAGCCTTTGTTTACAAAGATGATGGGCCAAGGACTTAATTATAAGCATGCTACTAAGATAATAATAATGCTTGGTGAAGAGAGGATTCACTACCTTGTATTCGGGCCTGTCAATCGTCCTCAACAGCTTCAACCCTAATGCCTGCACAGAAGGAAAGCCATGACATAGGACAAAATTAAGAAACATGATCACGTATTTGAAGAATACAAATACTAAGTTCCAAACCATCTTATATAATTCAAAGACGACTAGTTCAAGAATTCAATGGCAACCTAGTATTTGTCTAATCTAATGTACTGAAACTGCCACATGAAAAGTGGCTTGCAAAATCCCAAGATGAAAAAGCCTGATAATTTTTGAATCCATATGCAGGGTATTAAATGTGTACCTTCTCATAGAACTTGATTGAGCGTTCAAGATCACCAACGCGGAGCATTACTTGGCAAAGTGGCTCAGGAGTGGAGGGTCGCTGAATAATCTCAAACATGTAACCATCAGGATCCTTCACGAAGGCAATGATGCTCTTCCCGCCTTTAACAGGTCCAGGCTCCCTCGTCACAGTTCCACCCTTAGCACGAACATCTTCAACCAGTTTTTGAACCTACAAAATCCCAAAGTCCATACAATCATCAAACTGAGAAACAAGAACAAAATCCTGAATTCCCAAATTCCCAATAATTACTTAAAACACTGGAATGGTATTCTAAGCTAATTATGCACTTCTATAAAGTTAAATTGCACGACACTGGCGATTGGCTTGGGATGCCGTCACATTGTCATTTAAGCAAGTTTCTCTGCCCTAGAGACTTATCAGGAGTAGCAAAGGTGAAATGTCCAAAATCCCAATTCCATACAATCATCAAAATTCAGAAACAACAAAAAATCCAAAACTTCCGGGGATGATACAGTGACGGTTTCTCAAGTCCATCATACAGATGCCACAAAGCAAAAAATGCACGTCGCATTTGATTTACTCGAGGTAACGTCACGTTCACTACTTACTCAATTATTTTCTCACGTAAAAGTGTACAATTAACTCATGAGACTACACAAGAACTACATTTTTGGGTTTAAATCAATGAAATGATATATTCATTTAACCTTGACATTGTGTTTGCATGGCATAAAATGTCATTGAAAATGAAGTGTATTGTGTATTGTAAATATCAAATGGACCACATTTTTGCACCTTTTAAGATGATCAAGATGGAGGGGGAGCACGCACATAAAAAGTAGTGGTTAGCAATGAGCCATGTTTCCGGTGGTGCCGAGAAACACAGAGCCAAAAACGTTGATGGACCTGCCTATGAGTATCCTCGTCGACATCATTATGAGGCTACATCCGGCAATCGAATCACTGTCAGTTCCGGTGTGTTTCAAGACCGCCTTAAATTTCATTGATTCCCCATTCTTTGCTCAGCTGCATACTTGACGTTTGCTTAATTCTGCTGCCTCTTGTGCTGCCACTGTCCAAGTACCTCAACTTATTCTTCTTGCTGAGTTTGCGGCTCCTAACCGCAATCGGCAAATAGGCTTGCACCCATTCAAACACACTACTGGCACTGGCGCGATTGCATTTAAACGCGCGCTTCCTAACTGGAAGATTTTCTGCGGCAGCTGTTCGCAAGATGTACAGTTTGTTTTCTGCAACTTGATTGGCTTTAAAGCCAGCAGATTAACAAGTTCAAGCTACATGTTTGATGCTCTTAGGGGTGAAGTTCTACAGCTCCCATTGCTCTCATTGACGTGGAGGAACCGCGTGCTCACCCTTCAACGCACCGCCCTACAGGTTTACGTGGGATTTGACAATATATCTTGCACATACAAGATTGCAATAAGAATGTATCAAGATATGGAGTCATGCATTGTATGTATCAACAGGTTTACGAGGTACACTGCAGCCCCGCCTTTTCTTTCCTCCATTTTGTTAACAGCACAACAAGATTTAAGGGCTGTTCGAACAACCTTATTACACGTTAATCTGTATTCTGAATTCCTCATTCAAATTCACCTTTCAACAATTCCATGTCGAATTAAAGGAAGTTTTTCTTTAACTTTTCTGGTCAGAATCTTGGGGTGAAAACAAAATAAGAGAAGCAAACACAAACTGTTCATTAGATTATCATCCTCTAATCTTTGTCATGATAACTACAAAATGCTCGATCACAACTTTGTCATTTATTGCCGACTACTTTATCATCATCCATACTTTGAAATGTAAGTTGTTGAATTCAGTGACCTTAATCTGCCAGGGTTCTGCAAAAAATTGTAAGACAAAAACAAACTGCATTACTAACAACATCCAACAAGAAAGAACAGGAAAAGTACCAAGTAAAAGAATAGGCTAACTTCTTTTGGTCCACGAGAACAGGCCAATACGACTGAATTAGAACATTAGGCGTACTTGAATGAAAGGAAGTTTTGCTATAACTTTTCCATAACTACGTTTACTCACAGCGACTAGGTGTCCACGAAAACACACCATTGCGAGAAGTTTCGTTCCTTGTAAAAGTTCACCATATGTCCAGCATAACAGTAATGATCCAAAGAAGCACCAATGCCCTGTCCAAATACCATCGTTTCACGGGTCGCGGATTTTTGGCGGCAGCTGCGGAGGTCGTTCAGGCAGAGACGTTCTGCTGGGGGTTATGCTGCTGGTGCGGGTCAAGGACATGGACCACCGCCTCCATCTTCTTTGGAAAAAATATGGAATATAAGAAAGTATGCTAAGATAGATTTTAGGAAATTACTAAAAATGACTCATTTTCTTTATCTTATGACTAATATAGGTTAAACTGAATATGTACAGAGCATGCACAACAATAAGACATAAATACGATTCTCCTAAAATTTACAAATTGCTCTCCCATGTTTTCTGTAATAAAAGAGTTGGAGATTTACATAAAATAGTTATGTGCAAGTATACATACGAAAACTTTCTTAACAAGTGTCAAAGGTAAAACAAAAACTTACTAGTCTTTATCTTGGTGTTAGTGGGATGTCCCTACATCTTTGGTGCAAAATAAACCCACCTAGTTTTTATCAATTCCTATTTTTCTTCTCTGCATATTTGCTTATAAATCTAGTGAATGTGACTGTAATTAGTTTCTGTTCTTCACATATTTACTTTATGAATTTCTCTTTTTCGTTCTACATAATTCCAAAGGTTTCTCGTTCATAATCGATCACTTCACTCACTGACGTTTTCTCAGATTTTAATTTTATATGATGTTAATTGTTTGATTGAAATATAGATGGCTTCAGCCCAACCCGTAGTCCAACCTTCATCCTAACCCCAATTCCAACTTTGTTGTGTCTCGATAACCTCAAATCTGTCGACGCCTGTCACGGTAAATTGACGGAAGTAAAGGAGGCCGGAGGATTGGACAATCTGGAGACCATACAAACTAGCCAATCTCTAACAGGATTCGAGTCCAGGCGATCAGGCCTCCTTTGTCTCTTGAAGAGAAAGGCTTCTAACGAGTAGGGGAGGAAGATATCGAGGGCAAAGGAGGCCTGATCGTCCGGACTTAAATCATGTTAGAGCTTGACTAATTTGTATGGTCTCCAGACTGTCGAATCCTCCGGCCTCCTTTACTTCCATCAATTTGCCATGACAGGCGTCGACATATTTGAAGCTATCGAGACATGACGAAGTTGGAATTGGGGTTGGGATGAAGGTTGGACTACGGGTTGGGCTGAAGCCATCTATATTTCAATCAAACAATTAACATCATATAAAATTAAAATCTGAGAAAACGTCAGTGAGTGAAGTGATCGATTATGAACGAGAAACCTCTGGAATTATGTAGAACGAAAAAGAGAAATTTATAAAGTAAATATGCGAAGAACAGAAACTAATACTATGAGAAATTACGGTCACATTCACTAGATTTATAAGTAAATATGCAGGGAATAAAAATAGGAATTGATTTCAACACGAAAAGCATCACGTACCTCTTCAGGATCTTGATTCTTTACACCGCCAACATTTTGAACACTTTTTTCTGTTAATACAAAATAAAAAATACCAGCTTTTAATCCTAGAGAGAGAAAGAATAGAGGGAGAGGAATATTTATTAATAATAGTCAAAATCTAATACCTAATTTTATAAATGTCATTTTTTATAAAAAAATTTAAATATAGTAGAAAAATCACTTAAATAGACCTAAATACCCTCAAAATTAAAACCAACTAAAAACCCTATTGGATCAGAATTTTGGAAAAATGAGAGGCCACTACATTTTGTGGGTGATGTCATAGCGTTCCCAGTCAATACCAATGAAATCAAGGATCTTAGTATAACTGAAAATCTTGAAGGTGACTGACAATTTCAATTAAGCAAACATCATTGTGTGGAGGTTTTGCTCTTGTTTATAGAGCAACTTTAGCGAATGGGACGAGGCTAGTTGTTAAGAAGCTATCAGGAGACTTGGGTCTGGTGGAAAGAGAAATCAAAGCAGAAGTTGAGGCACTATCCACTGCCCAACACGAGAATCTAGTTAATTTCCCTACAAGGTTATTGTTTGCATGATGGCGTTCGCCTGTTAACGTATTCGTATATGGAGAATGAAAGTCTGGATTACTAGTTACATGAGAAACACAAGTGCCTATTTCATGTTCATCCATACGTATTGAAGCCACGAGGAAAAATGAAAAGTTGACTCTACAATTCATTAAAGACTTGTTTGTACCATACTTGATCAATCCCGAAACTACTGAGCACTGGTCAACGTTATACCGTCAAGGACCCAGAAGAGTTTCCCTCAAACCAGGAGGTCAATCACAATGCAACACGTGTCGACATCAGAAACCAATCACAGCGCGACACGTGTCAACATTAGAAGTCAATCACAACACGACACGTGTCAATGTCAGAACAAAGCTAGAAACGCTTATATAAAAGGAGATCATTCTCCCACAATATTTCCTAATGTTATTTGTACTAAATCATTCACTAGTATTCACCAAATGAGAGCTTGAACCTATGTACTTGTGTAAAGCTTGAACCTATGTACTTGTGTAAATCCTTCACAATTAATGAGAACTTCTCTACTCCGTGGACGTAGCCAATCTGGGTGAACCACGTACATCTTGTGTTTGCTTCCCTGCCCCTATCCATTTACATACTTATCCACACTAGTGACCGGAGCAATCTAGCGAAGGTCACAAACTTAACATTTTCTGTTGTACCAAAGTCTTCACTGATTTTGTGCATCAACAAGACTGATTATCAATTTTTAATTTACACAATTTTCTAATCGGTAGAGGCATTACAGACGCCATAAATTCGTGAAAAAGAAATAAAAAACATGCATTCCATCACTAAAACAGATCACCTGAGACCGATTCCTTTACCCGTACAATGCATATCACCATCAATTTAATTGGGGTCTCCTGAAAATAAGCGCTTGGGTGAGCCACGACAGTGCTGAAAAAACAAGATCCTCCACAACTACGTTCAAGATACTTGTGAATGTATTCAGAATCAACGTCCCCCTTCACAATATATGTATTCGGAATGCATTCATGAGTATCTTGGATGTAGTTGTGGAGGATCTTGTTTTTTCAGCTATGTTGCGGCTCTCCCAAGCGCTTATTTTCTGAAGTTCCCAATTAAATTAATGTTTCAAGTGATCTGTTTTAGTGATGGAATGCATGTTTTTTATTTCTTTTTAACAAATTTAGGGCATCTATAATGCCTCCACCGATTAGAAAATTGTGTAAATCAAAAATTGATAATCAGTCTTTAATGAATTGCAGAGCCAACTTTTCATTTTCCCCTGTGGCTTCAATACGTATGAATGAACATGAAATAGGCACTTGTGTTACTTTGGTTGTAATGTTTAATGGGATTTCGCAGCTATTACTCTGTTTGTCTAGTTTAACGTTGTTGGACTCATATGGTTAGAAATTACACCCGCATGAATTTTGTGATTGCTGATATTTTATCACGCATATTATGAGTGTTAGTTGACCTTCGCCATCTGATTTCTCTGCTATTTCACTCTCTGCCTTTCGATTTACTTCTCTCTCTCACACCATTAATTAGGCTAAATTGGATTAATGGTCCTTCATACAAATGATTAAATGTGACATGGAATACTATAATCTGACATGGATGACTATTTTTAGTTTTTAATCTTACATCTAGTATTAGGATTTTATAAATATTTTTAACAAAATTAAAGGTGACTCTTAATTAGGTAACATAAATAAACCCGAAGTTCCAAATTGGCCAAATTCAAAAGTGCGGGAACTAAATTGGTGGCGAATAACTGGAAACATTTATGCCAAAATACAACGCACTTACCTGTATAGTAAATTCCCACACCCACCACCCGCCGGAATGTTGATATTCCGCCACCTCGATCTCAGACGCAACTTCATCCACTAAATTGATCCTTCCATACACATTGCCTCATCCCCTACCCATCTCTTCCACCGCTTCTCCTCCACTATGGCCTTTCCTGGCCTGGACGCCGAGGACGCCCAAAAGGTGCTTGTTATAAATCCCCAAATGATTATTCGGATTCCTACTACAACTATAACTTCTGGTAGCTCTAGCTCTAGTTATGGTTGTTCTTAGTTTTACTCAGCTGGTTCATCCAAGACTAACTATTATCGTGAGGAACTTTTGCAAAAAACACCCACCTATAGTCTCTTTAAAGAACGATACGCGACCTTGGAGCTTACCATTAAAGAGACTATAGGTGGGTGTTCTTTGCAAAAGGTCCTTACGGTAGTAGTTAGTCTTGGACGAACCAGCTGAGTGAAACCAAGAACCAACATACACAGAGCTAGAGCTACCAAAAGTTATAGCTGTAGTATAAATCTTTATAGTCCTTTGGGGATTTATAACAAGCATCTTTTGGGTGTCCTCGACGTCTTGGGCATGAGAGACCACAGTAGAGGAGAAGAGGTAGAAGAGGTGGGTAGGGGAGGAGGCAATGCATATGGAAGAAGCAATTGAGCGGATGGAATTGCGCCTGAGACCAAGATGGTGGAATATCGACATTCCGAACGATGATGAGCATGAGAATTTACCATACAGGTAGTTGTGTTGTATTTCGGCTTAAATATTTCCAGTTATTCGACTCCAATCTAGTTCATGCACTTTTGAATTTGGCCGATTTGGAACTTCATGTTTATTTCTATTACCTAATTAAGAGTCACCTTTAATTTTGTTAAAAAAATAATAAATATTTATAAATTCCTAAGTCCTAATTTATTTATAAATTTTTTTTTATTTTAATCCCCAAATAAGATTGTTTTTTCAATAACTAAAAATAGTCATCCATGTCACATTTAATCATTTTTTTTATTACCACGGAAACCATTAATCTAATTTAGCCTAATCAATTTTCCAAGATTGCTTAATTAACTAGATCCATAATTAACATGTTCACTATACAATATAACATTACCATAAACCTCCATGTGCTATTCCAATCAAATAACTGAGAAGCCATGATTAAACAATAAAAGCCAAAAAACTCATAAACCAAAAATCTCGTTGTACTCGGAAGAAAGAAGAAAAAATGGGCTTTTATATGCCAAATTGACAGTGAATCCAGAGATAACTTAAAACAATACAAATAGAGAAAATGGAATGTGAAATCACAACCTAATTCAACGTATCGAATTGATCGCACCTAAATATATAGTACCTAAATGACCGTACCAAATGGATAGGACCTAATTGACAGTACCTAAATGAACACTTTTGTATGTTGAACAATATAGTGTACCTATATTTTCAATGCATTCTTTTTCTTTTTCTTTTTTATAGTTTTGGATTTAATAAATTAAAAATGAATCCATATATAAATGAAAAGAACAATTTTGTACATAGAGAAAATAGAATGTGAAATCACAACCTAATTGACTGTATCGAATTGATCGGACCAACATTATATAGTATACCTAACCGATCGTACCAAATGAATATGACCTAATTGACAGTACCTAAATAAAAACATAACCAATGCCCAAGAAGCCTTTCAACAAACACATGGTGTGCACTGCAAAAATGATCAATTCTTGCTAAAACAATGAAAATTATTGGACCTAAACATACAAACCGTACCAATTCTTGCAAAAATGCTCATTTTGTATGAACTTTTAGTTTAATGTTTCTATTTAACGGGCGTCGTTATTGGCAGGAACTTATTAAATCTATCGTTTGGGCTCATAAGAAATTAAAAGTTGCTCCTGCTACTCAGCCTAGACCCTTGAGTATTGTCTAAGGACGTACCTTCGAGTTTCACTAAATATCCTTTATGGCATTAACAATCATTCAATTTCTAACCCCAATCCATATATTTTCCAAACTCATTAATTTCGTACTTACCCTTAAGTTTACAATCAGTCAGTGTCGTCCTCATCATCTCAATTCTAGCCTTGGTGGAGCAGAGCATGTTGGAAATTTATACGAATAATATAAGGAATTCGATATAGGACATACCTTGAAAATTAAACGAATTCTGAATAGCCACCTCATTCCTACGAACCCTTGCACGAACCACAAAGGAGAGCATGGCATCTAACCCCATTAGATTGCCTACGTGCCTTATGCCAATACACGAAGATCAAACCATCATAGTAGCCTCCTAATCCTAGGGCCAAAGTGATACCCTAGAGGGTAAACTAAGAGAGAAAAAGATTACTGAGAGTGGAGAGCATTATCTCCTCCTCTCTAGAAGAAATTGTTTTTGTTGGTCATATTTTTTCCTTTCCCAAAGCCCTCTTTATATAGTGGCTTGGAGGGAAGAGAGAAAGGAAAATGATCAATGTGGGACAAATAACACATATCGATAACACACCCTATATCGGATGTATAAATCCTGCACAGCACACCACCAAATACGTTTAAACTCGATCACGCCTCCATGATTTATCTGTTTATTCCAAAGTCAAATTAGAACATGTCTTGGTGGCCCCACCGCGTCAATTTCATCGTTCAATATTAAGCACCTGATTTCCTTCCACATCTATGTTAGCTTAATTGGCTTTCGTTAGTTTTTTGTTTTTGTTTCTTTAGATAGTGAATTTCCTTATTTGACGGTTGTATGTATTCTATTCTACAATTTTATTTGCTGCAGAAAATTTCTTGTTTTGTTATTTTACGAAGGTAATTCGCTCCAAATTCCTTGGTGTCACTGCTCATCGTAACGAAAATCTTTGACATTCCGAACAACTCAAAACGAATGCAAAATTAGAAGCAAACCTATTCAACAACGAAAACATTTGCAAACGGGTTGTATAAGCATTAAATGTGAAGGGGGAACAAACCTTCTGCATGGTCTTCTTGAAGCAAGTTTTGTGTTTATCCATAGATGCATTGACAAAATCATCAGTTTGATTCTTCAAATCCTCCAAGGAAGTGGCTCATTCAGCATGAAGTGGCGGCTGGGGTTGTAGCAGCAGGTGATGGCTCATCAATCCTTGAATGCACACCATAATTGAATTAATTGATCTGTAATTAGGTGTACAAGAAAATCTAATAAAAAAGAGGCAACAACATAGTGCAAGTTAATTATTTGGCTTGAAAAGGAAAAACAAATCGGATTTCACTGTTTAAAATACAGTATTTCGTATTTGTAGTTACGACGCATTTGTATTTACAGCGTATAATTCCTTGGTACTTGAGTGATTGAACAATGACAAAGTTATGGACGTTTAAAGTCTTTCCAATTTTCTGGCGAACTTCCCCAATTTCCAACTATTATGTCGACTTTCTGTTGTGAGTGCTTAGGTTATCCTAACACCTTGCACCTTTGGAGTGCTAGGTTACCCTTACACATTTCCTCGTGTTTCTCTTCGACTTTCTGTTGTGAGCCTACGGGCATGTCTTGGCCCTATTGTAAATATTTTTAATTTCAGTATTTCAGTTTGTATTCCTGGCATTGCATGTAGTTGACCATTGCGCGTCGATCTTGTATGTATGTCGGGATCGGAGCTTGATATGTCGCCATGACAATGTGTCTGCTACCTAGTTCACACACAGATTCGAATAGTTTGTATTCTCTCATCTACACTTGTCATATTTTTTTATTATTATATATAGTAGCTTGAAATATCGACCGATAACAAAAACAAATAAAATTTAAAGTTATATATTGTTTATATATACTAAGTAAAAATAGCAAGTATTAATTATTTGGATTTCATGCCAGTAGAGGTAGAGCACATAATCTGTAACACGTCAGATACTACGAAATAGGATCTCATCTGGATCCTATTTGTGGGGATCCAAATGATCAATCAATCGTGTCCGTTTATTGTACATCGTGCGGTTAAAAATTATTTTAAATATTTTATTTTAAATTAAATATAACAGTATCTAACAAAAATTGATCGCAAGATGTACGATAAACGGACACGAGAAAGAAGATCCGGAGAGGATCCTCGTCCAAATACTACAATGCCCTTGTGGGCCTCGGTGTCCACATGGAAGGTATTTTGTGAACTCATTTCTGACAGATCATGTGTAAAGCCGAGGGTGGCTTTTGGTCGGCACAAGACCATCTTGCGCAAGACGTTCGAGTAACCAACCAAATTTTCCTCTCTTCTTAACAATTTTTTCCACTCTTCCCCCAGTGAATGATTGGCTTCACTACTATGTTTCAATCACGAGTCATTCACTCACATAGACACTATAATATGTTAGATGCGTCAAGTTCGAAATTCTTACTCTTACATTACTGTAATGATTTCGAACCTTTTTCCTCTTAACACGTTTAAGAAAAAAATATTTAATTAATTAATCATTGTAAATAAACAGATTAGTTTTTATTAACGATTATCAATTTTTTATACATTTTAATAACTAATGCTCTCATATTTTTGTTATTTTTATACAGTTTAATGACTAAAGATCTCATACTTCACAAATTATTTTGAGTTTGAAGTTTTGTTGGATTAATGCAACAACTTATCAATGTATTGGCTGTCGCACACTCGTATCAATGCACTATTTGGCTCAAAAAAATTCTAACGCCAAAGATGTTTGGGCGCAGGGATGTTTGGGTCCGATGCGCATCCGGTGGTCACCAAGCTGAAAAATGTAAAGAAAGGGCTGCTTAGGTTATCTCCAACCGATAGCTGATCAGAGGACCCTCCAAGATATTAATATTTTAATAAACAGTACATGATCATATTTACCTCCGTCTCCAACTGAAGGCCAATTGACTAGATGGCTCGTTTTAGCCCTGTCACAAAAAACAATCTCCAACCGAGGGCCAAAGGGCCAAACATAATTTATTATTTAAATTTAAAAACAACTTAAATTCAAATCCAACAACAACTTAAATTTAAAAGCTACATCTTATATTTAAAAACGACGAATTAAATTTAAAAACTATAAATTAAATTTAAAAACTACAAATTAAATTTAAAAGAATGGTGAATGAATGGTTTAGGTATTTATAGGAAAAAAAATATTAGAATTTTTAAGAATTAAAAAAAAAGGCCCAAAAAACCTAAATAAAATAAAATAAAATCCAACGGTAACTAACGCCAGCTAACCGTTGGATTCACATTTTAGTTTAAGCATTCATGTCGGTTATAACCGACAGGAAAGATGATTTTTCTGGCTAGCCCCAGGCTAGCTGGCTGGCTGTAGCCCTCCAGCCCTCTAGCCCTATAGCCCTCTCGATTCTGTGGGGCCCTCTCAAATTCCACAGCCCTCTGGCCTAGCCCTCAGTTGGAAACGGTTTTCGAGCTATTTTCGATCATTTGGCCCGCTGGACCCTTCGGTTGGAGATGACCTTATACAGAGGAGGGGGGCTGGTTGTAATGATTAGCATCGCTTTATCCTTTTGAAGGAAAAGTTAAGGGAGGTATATCAGAGGCCAGTGTTCAAATCAGGGACATGGAGCATGAGTTGAAACGGGCAATCCACCAGGAGGAAATTAATTGAAAGACTAAGTACTAGTTTGGTATTGATGTGTTTTTATAAAAAATTAGTATAAAAAAAAAGCTAAGCTCAAAAAAATGTTTGGTAAACACTTATAAACAAATTATTTTCACAGTTTTGGGTGAAAAAAAAAAACTGAAAATGTGAAGTAGCAAAAATGAGCTTATTCTCACAATACAGCAAAAGCAGTTTTTTTTTTCAAAGCACAGCGATATCAAACCAGCCCTAAATCTCGAGTACAGTGGTTGAATGAAGGTGATAAGAATACAAAATTCGTTCACGCTCAAACTACAAGGGGAGATGCCCACCTTCTTCAACCTAAACCAACCAAAATGCAACACAACACCACCTTATACTTGCAATCTCTATCAATTAACAAACTTCAGAGCAAAAAGTGCCTTCTCCAATTGGGATTACAAACATCCACCAAATGATTTCAGATCAGTCCCCAAATTTGTAAAACATGTTTTTATGCAAACAAAACAACGAAAAGTACGAAAAACTTAAACCCAACCAAGTGGTTTTCTTAAAGCAAGAAACTAGAGCTAACACAAACGAAATCTATCAAATTACCAATATGCAATCAGAACAATTTCAAAACAAAAACAGCTAAATAGACCTAAATGAGATAAAAAGTAAAGAATTCACAAAACCAATTGAAAATCTAATTCTAAATTTCCAAACACCCACCAAATGATTTCGGATAAAGTTTTAAAGTCGAATACATGTTACTGATACATAAGGGTACATAAGAATGAGAAGTAAAGTATGAAAATTTTAAAACAAAGGGCCAATCCTGCTCTTTAGGAAATCAAATTTTGAGCTTGGCTGCTTTTCAGTTTCACACTACCCTTAGATTTGTTCTTCTTTATGGGTAGACTTTCTAACCAAACATATGTTCACAGATATAATTGTCCCTAGGTACACCAACACATTCCAAAATCATACATATTCTCTAATGTAAACTAATTCTTAGCTAATTAACATGTTCAAATCCTTATTTTCTCATATGATTAGGCAAATCTTCACCTTTACCAAACTGATGTCTGGATGCACCTCGTGGAGAATTTGATGGCATTATACCTGAATCAGAAAATTAAAAAATTAAAAAAAAAAAGAATTTGATAACATTATAACGGTAAAACCCAAAAAATCAGTATATATCACTTCCTGCAAAACCCCAAAATCAGAAAATTAAAAAAAAATAGAATTTGATAACATTATACCTCAAGAAACCCCAAATACCAAAAAATAGAGTCAGCAAAATAATCATATAAATTGTGATTTAGATGAAAATTTAGGAGGGTAAAGATTGGAAACGCACAGAGAGGGAGGCCTTGTATTTCTGCCAATATGAAATGCAATCCTCCTTGTCCCATCGGCCCTTGACAAACTTCTCCAGAACACATGGTTAATATATGGTCATTACAAAGAGATCTATGAACCATCAATATGAGAATTTTGTACAAAGATCTATATATCAATTGCGAAAGCATAATTTTTGTGGTTGTGGTATGCTAATGTTCATTTGCAGCACAACAGATGCAAGCTCATAATAAAGCAGAGATGGTCAATGTAAATACAACCTGATCTAACCACATTGTGCAAAAGGAACTCAAGTCCGACACTAATAAATTACTCCTTTCTATAAAACTTGTGAAATTAAGTTTAGTTCTCTACAAAAATCAAATTAGCATCATAAATTGGCAAAAGGGAAACTGCTTCAAATTTGTGATTTGATATAATTGGACTTTAGAAAAAACTTGATGATTTTGAGGGATCCAATTTAACGGTTAGAAAAATTTTCACTAATTTTCATTATTTAGCAAAATTACAAAGGAGAAGTGAGAAATAAAATTAAAAAATAAAATATATATGCACCACACAAAGATTGGATAAACATTACGAAATAAAGTACACCCGCAATTAGGATTTCATCAAATTTTGAGTAATTAATCCTTGAAATTAAGCTGATGATCTAAATTAAACAGAAGCTGAAAGGAAATTAGTGAAAGGGAACAAACCTTGATCCATTTGCCTTGCACCTGGAGAACTCTCAGTCACTGTGGAAACTCAGTTGCCGAAGTATCAGTCTTCGCCTTGCTCTGCAAAAATCCCCAAATTATTTAAGATTTCTTCTAAAACCAAAAAAAAAAATCCAAAATTCGACAAACAAAGACCTCAGCGAAGTCCGAGTCGGCGCCGTGGCTTCCCGGAGCTGGTTACCGGCAAAAGCGTCGGTGTCTTCGAAGTCGGCGATGTCGAAGTAGTCGTCAACGACGTACTCCAGCTCGTCGTTCTGAAACTGCGCCATTTTCGACTGCGGAAAAACTCGGGGATTAACTGAAATTCACAATGGCCATTAAATCGAAACCGAAAGTGGGAGAAGTGGCGTAGGAATTTACCTGGAATTTGTGAATTCAGCTGGCGGGTTCAGAAAAACAGAGTGTGTAGAATTTTCCCAAGAAACGAACAGAAAAAGCGAGCGTCTTTTTTAGGTGGGTGAAAGAAAACGCTCACCCACGGTGGTCAACTTATAGACTTTGGCGAGAGGGAGAGAGATTACTGGAAAGTGACAGCCAGTAGATTATTTTTCGGCATGAATGGAGGCCATGGTTTCTCAGAGAGATCAGCGAGCTCACATTTTTTAATTCTCAGAGAGGGAGAACTGTCGAGCTTTTGCACAAGGCGAAGTGTGTTTTGTCGAGGTTTTGAGTTGTAGGATAAAAAATGGAGAGAGCAGATTCAATGCCAGTATCATAAAAAATAAAAAAATTTACAAAACTACCCTTGTATTATCTTATGCATTCTTTTTTGCTGATTTTGATTTTTTTTTTTTTGCTGAGGGGCGTTTTGGTCATATTCTTTTTTTGTCGAAGCCCTGGCCCCAAATGCACTATTCATTGCGGCTTTGGCTTTGTATATAAGAGATGATTATGTATCTCATCGAATGTGAATGTACCCGTCAATCTGAGAATTTATCGATTCAACTCTCGAAATTACTGTAACGGTATTAATATATAGAAAGTGGAATTATATCTCATTTTCCTTTTGGACTACATCGCATTTTCCTTTTGGATTATTGGGCCAAAAGTTCATAGCAATTGGTGATCGGCGAGTGGTTCTGAGAGCCCATAATTTTGGGCTACCTTGCACCATAATTGGACTATCCTAATTGGTGATTGGCGCATCAGTCATATAACTTGATCCAATTTGTAAGGACTTTATTTCTTATTTATTTTATATTTTAGTTTATTTTTCTGTTCAACAAGTCAACAATCTTTCTTCGTTGCATGCAGACTCGATGGCAACAGAATACTTATAATTGAGCCAAGCTTCAATATTTGACACCAACAATCTTTCATCAAAAATAAAAAACAGAAAGATCTACAATTATTCTGAAACATGCATTCCATGCAAACAGACAACACCTGAACCAATTCTTCTACGTACTGCATTCCCATCACCATCAACTGTCTCTGCTTCGTTTCCTTCTTTGAAGCTATTTTCCCTCAAATTCCTTCCGTTTCACCCTGAATTTCGACACAAAAAACCGAAGAATTAACACGAGCTACAATAACAACACTAACACATTCAACAACCATGAGAATCAGTGAGTCTTACTTACATCCCCATCTTCTGCGAACAAGCCATTGGACGGGATTAAGCCTGGACATTGCTGAAAAAACAAAATCTTCAAGCCAAAGGTCCAAAATCCTTGTGAATATCGTCAGAATCACCATTCCCCTTTCCAAAATCCACCGTCTTAGCGGTCCCGGACTTTCGTCGGCGGATGTGGCGGCCGCGGAGGCGACGGAGGCGGATGCGGCGGAGGTCGCTCCTTGCTGGTCAAGCAGCTGCTGCTGCTGTGGGTTTAGGGCATCGACGATAGCCTCCAAGATCTCCCAGTCTTTTTCAGACAGGACATTTCCGACAAGTTCAACCTGCAAACTTCCTCCCCCGTTGTTAGCCAGTTCTTGGGTCATCAACCTCTTCAAGAGAGAGAAGAGGCTCCTTTGTCCTGACGCCATCCTCGATGTATCTTCGTCGATTTTTTCCATTTCCGCAGGGTTCAATCCTCCCGCCTCCTTCACTTTCATCAAACTGCGGTGGCAATCTTGGTTAGATCGGAGGCTAGTTAGGAGCAGCCGAGCTCGGACTCCGGGTTCCGCTGCAGTTTCGACATGGGTTTGCCCTTCGGACATGATTATTGATTCTTGCATTGGAGGAGTGTACCTGCACAGTGTATATATAGCGTTTGCTTTAATAATATAAAATGTGCCGCCTTTGACTTTTGTGCTAACAATTTAACAGAATTCAACAAGGTTGCAAGACAATGACCAGTAAGGATGAGAGATGAGAATTGAACAAGGTTACAAGACAATGACCAGTGAGGAAGACAGATGAGGCACCTAAACAATATAAAGGGTGAAAGATGAGGAGCGCATTGGAAATGAAGGGTGAGAGATGAGAATTGAACAAGGTTACAAGACAATGACCAGTGAGGGTGACAGATGAGGCACCTAAACAAAATGAAGGGTGAGAGATGAGGAGGCACATTGGAAATGAAGGGTGAGAGATGAGAATTGAACAAGGTTACAAGATAATGACCAGTACGGGTGACAAATGAAGCACCTAAACAAAATGAAGGGTGAAAGATGAGGAGGACATTGGAAATGAAGGGTGAGAGATGAGAATTGAACAAGGTTACAAGATAATGACCAGTAAGGGTGGCGGATGAGGCACCTAAACAAAATGAAGGGTGAGAGATGAGAATTGAACAAGGTTACAAGATAATGACCAGTAAGGGTGGCGGATGAAGTACCTAAACAAAATGAAGGGTGAGAGATGAGGAGCACATTGGAAATGAAGGGTGAGAGATGAGAATTGAACAAGGTTACAAGATAATGACCAGTAAGGGTGACAGATGAAGCACATAAACAAAATGAAGGGTGAGAGATGAGAATTGAACAAGGTTAAAAGACAATGACCAGTAAGGGTGATAGACGAGGCATCTAAACAAAATGAAGGTTGAGAGATGAGGGGAGGCAGATTGTTTGCCCTCCTGTTTAGGTGTCCTTCCCATCCCCTCCTATTTTATGCGGTCACGGTTAAGCCACGTCAATATTTTATATCAATTTTTTTTATAGAGATAATAAGACAAAAATCAATAAGACTATAAAATATTGACGTGGCTTAACCATGATCGTACAAATAGAAGGGGATAAGAATTTGGCACCCAAACAGGAGGGCAGACAATCTGCCTCCGAGATGAGGCGCGCATTGGAAACAAAATGAAGGGTGAGAGATGATGAGGCGTGCATTGGAAACAAAATGAAGGGTGAGAGATGAGGCGCGCATTGTTTGGATGAGAGTCTTACAGAATGAAGGGTGAGAGATGAGGTGCCATTCTTTGGGTGAGAGTCTTACAGAATGAAGGGTGAGAGATGAGGTGCGCATTGTTTGGGTGAGAGTCCTACGGAATGAAGGGTGAGAGATGGGTGTGCGTTGCTTGTGATGTGAGATATTAAAATGGAATCTTGTATTTTGTTTTTATTTTTATCAAATAATAATTGGGGATTATTGGATCTTTTCCTATCTTGTCCTAATTCTAGCGTTCCGAATCTTTAAGAATCTTTTTTTTTTTTAACAAAAGATACTATCTACATTAAGGAGGAAGAGTGGTCTTAGCCTCATAATATGCTAGCAATAATGTAGTTCAAACTCGCATTTGAGGAGAATCAAACCTAAGGCCTCATTTACAAATGAAGAGAAATTAGTTAAATATTTCATTTTGTTATATCCATACCAGTCATAGTATGTACTAGTATATTTACGATGTAGATTCTTATTTAAGCTTCTATCGTGTGCATGTCTAACTTAGTCGGTTACGAATTGCTTGAAACTCTAAAAATTGATACTGATTGCGATTATATAAGTGAAGTTTATTTATTCAATTTTAACTCAACCTTATAAAATTATCCATTTTAATTAAGTTTGGATTTGGAGATTCCTAACTAGTAATACAATTTAGTGGTATTTTTCTCTTAATACTCTTTGAACAAATAAAAAGTAAATTTTAGCCATGTTATTGCGAATATAGGAGTAATTCATAGCCAAAGAGAAACAGTCCCGTTAAGAAACTTCAAAATTTGTTAAAACACCAAGTGAGCCAACAAAAATGATTAAGGAAAATTACTCCAAGTTTTGTTGTCTTAGTCGTTAAGTTGATGCCATTCTGCCATGCAAGATACGCACACGGGGCCCACCCACGTGACGAAAGCGAGACTATTAGATCGAGCCCCCACAAATCAAGCCCGCCACGTAAGCAGGTTACCATGCGGACTTTGCGGACAGAGGGCACAGACCTCATACCGATCGATTAAACCTATTATTGTGGCGTCTACCGGGGTGAACTGGACAATAAATTTTTCTTTATGATCAGAACACGGGTAGTTCATCACTTGTTTTTATAAAAGTGGTAGGAAATTGTATTTTCTAAGTCATTAACATTTTAACACATATATTCCACTATTTGTATAGTAACACGTGGTGTATCATCCCATATTCCGGTCACACTAAAAAATCTCTCGAACTGGACGTCAAGATAAGAGGTGAGCATAGGGATGACAACGGATCAGTTTGGGGACGGAAATGCTATATCCATTCCCATAACCAAGAAAATTAATCATATCCACAACCGCAAATTAATCATCTGGTATTATCCATAACCATACCCACTGGATAATGAATTTCCTATCGGTTAACGGTTATTGACACACCCCGACCCAGAATGTCCACTAGGACTCCGAATCGAGCTGTGTTGGTCGACACCTGGAGGTTGATGAAGCCATAAAGTATGATGATGTGGAAAAAATGTGAATAAATTTAAACCTAAGAGTGCCTAAATACAAGAGTGCGCCATGAGCGGAAATGGACTCATTTCACACGTGACGTCAGAGCATAAGTAAAGTACAATAGAGTGGATTGAAAATCATACCATCGAAGGTAATCTCCAATACCAAGACTTGCCATGAATCCTCGTCGATACAAAAGCTCTACTACTAGACCTGGAGGGATAAAAACAAGAGTGAGTGGTCAGAAAATAGAGCTTTAATAAAAACCTTCTAAATGATATAATCCCTCACCGTAACACCTGTTTAGCTTCCAAGAAATCATACTACGGATAAACATGAAATTAAAAGTATACTAACATTAAATCCAGAAGTATAGCACATCACAGCATCTCACTAGCAATATAATTAATCAAGTGCTTAATAACCCATACTAGCACGCTAGTCGGAGTCACCTATGGTGACCTGTACGACTACAATCATATCTCATCAATCAATGCTAGCTCATAGGTCGAAGTCACCTCTTGTGACATGTACAACTTATCCATATCTCATCACATATGCTAGCTCATAAGTCGGGAGTCACCTCTTGTGATCTGTACGACTTATCCATATCTCATCACATATGCTAGCTCATAAGTCGGGAGTCACCTCTTGTGACCTGTACGACTTATCCATATCTTATCACATATGCTAGCTCATCACATATCCCTGTACACGAGTCGGAACCACATATAGTGGTCTGTACGACAGGACTGGGTGTAAATAAATAAGCTCTAGTGCTACGATCACGTGAAAACTGTGCGAATAATCGCAGGTCACCTACGAGTCGGAACCACCTATAATGGTCTATACGATAGGCATGTGCACCTACCTTGAATCCAAGGTGAGCATAAGGTGCGGGAGGTGAACATCACGTGAAGGACTATGCCCTGGCCACGGGCGGGAGCACTAACACCGGGGTGTAGGTTTATGAGCTGTACTCACATCCGTTCATCACTAATTATTATTCAATCATACCAACATTATATACTCACCTGAACTTACCTTGACCTCTATATTGTGTGCAACACTATGCGAATTTGTACCAAATTACATACTAAAATATAAACTAATTATGGCATGGCATTTATAAAACGTAAAACCACAATTTCTCGTTTCTTCACACATTGATTTATAATCAACATTTAATCACCGAGACGTGAGGTTAAATCTCACATTTTTCACCATATTCCTTCATATTGCTCAATTTCTCAAACAAGGTTATTGTCTCAATTATTTAATCTCATTTATGGTATGGCTGCGTCTAACGTCTTATTAGATTGCCTACGTACCCTAACAGGGATCAAGCTATTCGTAGTTCGTATTAGTACTTCAAAGCATTCACAGTAATTTATGCAATAATCAATTTCTAACCATTTGTGGAATTGTCAATCATATACAAGGTCTAAAATATCGATGATATCGAAAATATCGGTAATCCAAAAACACGGAAATTTTGATGGAAATATCGAGATATTATCGATATAAATAAAAATTGAATAAAAACCACGGAAATTGTAAGAAAAACTTAGAAATTTTTATTGAAACTTTGCAGGATGTTTATTTAGTCAATTATCTATTAGTTTATCACAAAAAAATTGGAAGGAAATGCATTGCATGATGGATTTAACTGATTTAAGTTGATTATGTAGCGAGCTGGCAAACATTGTGAGTGTAGAAAATATGTAGTAATTAATGAAAGAAGTTTAAACACACCATAATCATTTATATATAATGAATTAGTACAATATTTTACACTTTATAGAAATTTATCATAGATAATAAATATTAGCTCCTTGCAGACATCTTAACGACCATATAGATATTACAGGCTGAATATGTAATCACAAACACATCTGTAGCGAGTTGGATAAGGCCCAGGTGCGTAGTTGACAAAGGGAGGGGTTCGAATCCCTCTATGTGCAAGATTGAGACTTTTCAGCATTTTTCCAAGGTTCTAAAAAACGTTAGGCACTAGTCAGGCAGCGGACTAACGCCTAGCGGCTAGGTGGGCACTTAGGCGGCCTAGGCGGATTTAGGTAAATTTCTTACATATTTTATGAATTAATTAAATTTACTATATCAAATGTAAATAATTCTTGATTAATATGTTATTTCTTATAGAAGAACATACATATGTGAATGTTTTATATACATATATAATATGCTTGCCTATGAAAAAAGAAAAACCAAATATTATTTAAATAATTTATAATTTATATAACATTTATATAATATATATATATATATAATATATATCCCAAACTTCTAAAAATATAAAAACCTCATATAATGGGTGGTTTTCATTATTAAAAATTAAAACCATCAGCCATCCCCTCACCATTAAAACCATCAGCCGTCTACCCAAGGTGGTTTTCATCATTAAAACCATCTCATGGTTTTCAATTTCATAATTAAAAGTTAAAACCATCTTGGATTTGAGATCCCGGTTTGCTACCAGTACTACATAGAAATGTTTTAAGTCTCTCTCTCTCAAACTCTTCTCTTAGACTCTTTTCCCTCATTTTGTGACATGATTTTATTCACTGCTAGGGGCATGAGAATGAAAAAGAGAAGCTTATTATGGAAAAAGAAGCTGCTATAAAGGAACTTGCATCTTCAAAGACTCAATTAGCTTCTTTGAGAACACAAATTGACAACCTAACTTCAGAAGTCGAAGAACAGAGAGCAAAGGTAAGCATTGATATTTGATTTGGCTAGATCTTTTAGATACAAGTTTCATGGTGCATGCATCTCCTTTGCAGGTAGCTTCTACGAGAAATATTCATGATAGTGCCCAATCTGAGCTTAACTTGCTCTTCCCTCAACTTCACATAGACGAGCTGCAGAAATTCGCAGGGGCTCTGCTGCTACGTACGAGATCAGAAGTTGTAGATCCGTAGCTAAAATTGCAGCAAAGTTTGGGATTTGCAGTGAGATTCAAACCGCCTAGACTGCCGTTTTTTGGGTTTCATCTCGTGATATTATTAATATTATCGATTATATCACGATATATTGCCCAAATAATGCATTAAAATACTGAAAATATCGTATCCGATATTATCGCGATAATATTGACAAAAATATCGATATATTGACGATAATTAAGTGGATAAGTATGAAAATATCGTCCACTAAAAAAAAACGATATTATCGGCGAAATATCCCCGATAATATCGATATTTTAGACCTTGATTATATATATATATATATATATAATATACGATAGAAAGGAAAAAACCCACTCACCTGAAGTCCGCGCTACAACTCCCTAACACGCATATTGAGACATCATGAACTATCATCGCATGTGACCAATTATCAAATCACATCTCAGAGTTCTGACCAATAGAATACATAATTTACGTAAAACACATCACTACGTAATTCATTTCGGAAGATCTGCATCACGGATTTCCGCTCCGTTGCTTCCAAAGATCCACATTATACTTCTAGAACAACATCCTAAGGTTTCATTACGATCCAACGGTTGGATCTCCGCCAATTGCCAAAACCAAATGGCAGTCAACATTTTATTTTATGAATTTACAACTCCAATTCGGGAAGATCCGTAGTTCAGATTCCAGATTCGTAAGTTTTTACAGTCCTCAAATATTACGTACTATAACATATTAAAGTTTGGTGACGATCTAACGGTCGGATCGTTGATTCATATCTTTACCAAGTAACGTAGAGGATTTAGATTCCAACAATCAACCTACGTCATACAATTACCAAAACTGAGCTCAAGGCATCTAATTAGCCTAAGAATAACATCGATGGCCCCCTGGCCACGCGCCGCTGCACCAGCCGCCGCGGGTGGAGGTCGGCCGCCCCGGCTCGCCGGAAAACTCAACTATTTATAAAATTTCTCGAAAATTATAGAAATGAAGATCTCAAAGAGTAGAGCAAACTTTATACCTGTGGCCAATTCTAATTTGGCCTGGAAATGCTCCAATTTGCCTCGAATCCGCTAGAAACCCTAGAAATTGGTGTTCTTGATTCGTCCCCAATTCGATTCCGACGCTCCAACCAATGATTGGGCATTGTTCTAGGCCTCAAGAGAAGTCTATTGGTGGTGGCAATTGGAAGAAATTGCTTCAGAAATGGGAGAATCGACAAGATCCGTCAGTGTCACCATCGCCAAATGTCACGGATTTGACCCAATTTCCATCGAATCTTGATAAAAAAAAAAAAATAGTCATGTGTTTGTTCCCCTATGATTAAAGAAAACAACTCTAAGTTTGGGAGGAAAACTAAAAAAATTCTCAACTGCGTGGAGGGGCATAAAAACACACATTATTTGGTAAAAATAACTCCAAATCTGAAAATAACAAGTTTTGTTGTCTTAGTGCTTAACTTGCTAAGTTTCCATCATGGCTGTGCAGGTTCGAATCCCTGGAAGTATTTTACACACCCATATTTTTATAGCAAGTGGTGTTTAGCGGATCGATTTCAGAATATATGGGTCACGCCAAAATGTTGGCGGATCAATTAGCCTCCATTGACTTGGTGACCTACCTTCTCCAAGGTGTCTGCATATGAAATGCTCGTCACTGCCTTGACTAATTTTCCTCCTCTGCCAACGTTCACGGATTTGCAATCTCGTCATCAACTACGATATCTCTATAGTCTTATCGAATTCATAGAGCTTCAGAGTTTCATATTTTCTGAACGGATTTTCTACTCTATAATCCCGAGGACGAGACTGCAGGGCGAACACCTAAGAACCAAGTGTAAAATGATGATAGACACAAAGCAAAAAGCATCACAAACTGTCTTTTGTCTTAACACACAAATCTCTGTCTTTCATGAATCCCGCGGTATTGTTTACACTTCACGGATTGTACTTTGGTAGTCGGGAGGGGACAGTAAAAACCCCCGTTCGGAGGAAATAAAGAATGATATAGAGTCGAAAAGGAAAGAAAAATGAAGCTTTGAGAGGAATTGTCTCCTCATTTGAAGCTTGATCTGTGTATGCAGCTTCATCGCCCTGATATATACTACATTGAAGGTTGAACTGTGTTTGCATGTCTGGAAATCCAAAACCATTACGAAATTGAGCCCAAGAAACGACTGCCTTCTATGGAATCGAGTCCATTGGGAAGCTACCAAGGACACGAAGAAATCTTGCAAATTCCTGCAAAGGAAAGCAATTCACCCTTAAATCACTAGCTTAAGTGTGTCACCAAGTGGCAGAACCTCCGGCACAAAATAAATGTTTTCGAAAGTTGAGAAAATAAAGAACATGCATCTAAATGATACGAGACCGACCTGCAGATGTGCCAAGGCATATTGGGCGCACGGGGCTCTGCCATAGAAGCGTCAAAGTCAATGTAAAAGAGCTAGTTGAAATACCTGCCAAAACAGATCGATCAATCAATTCTGTAGAATGTAATTTTTGTAGCGACCTTACCCATATTAAGAGTCATATCATGATCATGATCTGTCTGTTTTGTATATACTGGCGCGGATATGTAAAACTTATCATATTCTATACTTAGTATCACTCACTTGGCACTGAATCATCCACAATCATATAGCTTCAATACGTATGGATGAACATGAAACAATATGAAATGATATAATACGAACCCGAGGATCCAAAACTTGTGAGGAAGATTTATATACAGCATGTTGGATTAAAGTTTCCGGCGTATCGAAAACAATGACTAACTGTTTGGACCAAAAATTAGCTGCCATGCGTCCACCTTCTAACCCTAGTTACTTGTTAATTTAATATATCATTTTCAATTTTTAAAACTAATTTTAAACATTGAAAAAACTCAAACCCTTCAAGTTCCCCATCAGCCAAACCCCTCAAACAAGTAAACAACTACCCACCCACGCCACCCCCTTCAATTGATTCTTCGAGTGTCGAGAGATCGAGAGAAACATGGCGAGGAATGATGGGGTTATGATACGACAGACTTTGTTTCGAATTGGAAATGGCATAGGCAATGGCTCCTATGGCCCCTCTTCCTTCCAAGTTCTTCATGGTCTTCACAGTTTTCCAAATTGTATCAAAACCCTAAAAGCCCTAACTTTGATCCCAACCACACCGTCTTTGTCCCTGTCGATTCATGCTACTTCCACACCCAAATCACCCGTCTTGCTCGATTCCCCTCATTTTCTGCAACACCAAAGACGGCTGTCCTCAGCCCCCGCCCCGTCCAAGTCCCCGTCCCCGTCTAGAGCCCCAGGCAACCCCTTTCTCTTTCTCTTCCAATTTCTGCGATCTGATGATGGTTTTGTTGTTGCCACTGAGACCGCTGTGTATTTTTATAGCAATTAAATTTCCAAGTCCCGCAGACATCGTCGTCTTGTGGAAAGAGGATGAAGTAGAGAGAGCTATACAAAAAGTTAAAGGTAATTATTTCTCTGATGCATCATCGTCATCTGTATGCCCATAACCTCATACTAGCCTGCCTTATCTGCGTGGATTGCTTCATTTTTTTTCCTTCATTATTTGCTTGCTTTATGAGACAAATTAGGAAGAAAGGCGATCATCATGTCACATGATACAGGCAGAAGAACATTGTTCGTGGACATTAGTCCTTTGTTACTACTCCCCCTCCTGTTTTAGCATTCTGGGCGATGGCACCTCGTGCCTATAGGCTATAGCCAAGCCCAGGCTCTTCTTATTTAGGCCTAAATTTGCTTCGGCTTCTCCCTAGGGTAACAAAAGGAAAAAAAATCCACCAAACCTACTGGTCAGAGAAAACTAGAAATCACCATAGTTAGCAATCGTCGTGGTTAACCGCAATACATCATCTGGAAACATGCAGATTCCACCGGGATACACAGTCCACTCAAGCGGGGTTCGAGTTTACACGCAGCCAAGGAAACGAATGCCAAACCCATCCCTAAATTTTCTTGCATTCATTTTGAAAGCGTTTTTCTCCTTTTCTTTCCTCACTTATAATATTATGTATGCAATTTTTAATCGTTATTATTTGTTTTTTCTTAATTTTGATAGATGGACAATTGGCAGCAGTTTTCTACTTTGCTATGCCGACGTCTTATAATTGTAAGTTCTGCGAACAATTTTATACATGAATCAATTTATCTGTTGTAAGCTGCTCCTTCAAACTTATACATGGACTCTTCCTTTGCAGCCAATCATTTTGGATCTCCAACGGTTCGAAAAATGAGGGAGCAAATCCCACATGTAACAGTGTACAAGTATGTGTTTACTTCTAAGGTATGGTATTGTAATCTGGACTTCTGTTAACTTGGATTGTTTGGAAACTATTTTAGTCGTATTGTAGATGGTTGAATCCCATTTTAAGATTAAGGGGAAAACAAAGTGTTGTCTTTGCTTTTTTCGAATTCTAGTTATGGATCTTAAGGTTAATGAATTACTGTATGGTGATAGTAACGTTTTATGTCTATTTACAGGGCTACTCGCCGGATATGAATATTACCACTACGGTAAATGATTGTATCCCCTGCTTTTTTCTTTTTTTTTTCTAAAAGAAAACCCTGCAAATGTGCATGCTTATTTCATTGATATAAGTGTTCATGTACGTAACGCAGCCTTTGTTTTTGAAAAATTGCGTTCATGATTATGTGTCCGTTTTGCTGCAGCCAACATTCCGTTTCTATCAAAATGGGGAAATGGTAGATGAGATTTTTGCCAATCCCTATCAAAATAGGAGGGCAGATGAGATTCCCAAACTCGTGATCGAAACTTGTGAAAAACTGTACAGGTATTGATATTCATTTGCATGATTTTGCTGCATAATTGCGAATAGAGTCATATATTGGTGACTGCCGGTTGAGGTTTCTGTTTTTGATGGTTCAAGTGAATTTTTCTTTGAATGCGATCTCCCCGTGTTGATTTTTTATTTCACTGGAAGGCATGTCATCCGGGTTGAAAGCACTCAACCTATGAGCTCACCTGGGAAGGGGAAGGGGAAAAGGAAGAGGAGAACACATCAACAACTTGTCGTACAAGCTAAGACGGACAAAAATGAAAATGACAAAGTAGTTTCTTTAGGAGTGGGGAAGGTGGGAGATGCGCTATTGTCACAGAGGAGAGGTGCTGCGACATCATCAGAACTTAGTGATCGCCCTATTGAAGCGGCTGATAGTATTAGCAGTGCACCTTCACTTGATGAAGCAGTGGAGGCTGTTGCATCAACTTACCCTGGGCCGCTTTACAAGGGGTGTCTGCGGTGGTATGCAAAAGGGGTGTTTAAAGCCAACCCTGAGAAGATAGCAATGTTCCTAAAGGTTGCGAGAGGTGACAAGGTTGCGAGATATGATAAGGTTGCTTGGCTGCTAAGGGACGTGGCCGAGGATTAAGTTGGGCTTGGATTGGACCGGATCCGATGTACTCTGATTAAAAAAACCGTCCCTACTATTGTGCTTAAAATTTGGTCTTATGTTGTACTCTAATCAAATAATCGTCGGACTAAGATTGATTAATGCTGGATATTTATCATATGATTATGTTTTGCCCTTTTGTGTTTCATATGTCTAATTAAGTATTCTTACCATCTGTTGGTGCGAAATCCATATTTTCTGTTTTGGAACATCGTGATTCAATTATGAGCACAAGAAATCATTCACGGAGGAGGATTATCTCCCCTCTTAATCTCTCTCCCCTTCTCTTCCCTCCCCTCTTACTAAAACGGTTATGATTACGCTACGCCAACATTTTATATTGATTTTTTTTATAGAGACAATAAGACAAAAGGCAATATGTGAGGGGAGGCCAGGGAAGGTGAAGAGAATAGGAGGGAAGAGAATCATACTCTTATCAAGGCACAAGGCAAAAATGTTGGTACATTGTGATGGATACTTTGTAAGTACAAAGTTTTGTCAAGTGGTCCACAAGTTGTGTTTAACGAGACTCCCCTGCACGAATCAACTATTGTAACTGTTTTAGACCACCACACATAGAGCAAACGTTGTTAAGCTTGATAATTAACGATGGAGCATTTCAAATTGAAGCATCTTTCTGTATACTAGAAAGATGATCCCCAGAATTCACATACTAGTAGAATTAATCCCCCAAATATATGAGAGTTCAACATATCAAATCTATGATCTAGACATTGTCAAACATAATATAAGCGCATATTAATCGGCCACTTCGCGATGGAGCCATTCAAGCTTGGCCCGATTATCTTCCCACTCACAGAATCTCTCCCTCTTCTCATCAGATGTAAATAGGCCCTTGGCAAACCACCACAACTCACTCGAGGGCTCTGCCTCAGGTAAAGATTCAACTGCCTCCATCACTGTGGGAAATGCTGATGCAGGAAACCTACTAGGAAGTACCTCTGTAAGTTTTGACGGATCAACTTCTTCTTCATTCTTAACTTGCTTAGATCCTTGTCGTCTTCCCCTTTTCTTCATCCCAGATGGACTTCACAAACGTTTAGTGATTTAGAAACATCCGACAATAACAATGGGGTCAATTTACAAACATGTTAAGTAATTCATCCATATATCACAAAAAATAGAAAAAAAACTTGAGCTCAGGAGATGATCCTCTTCCCTATGACATCACCCACAAACTGTAGTGGCCTCTCATTTTTCCAAAATTCTGATCCAATAGGGTTTGTTAGTTGATTTTAATTTTGAGGATATTGTTAGTTAGTTTTAATTTTGAGAGTATTTAGGTCTATTTAAATTATTTTTTTGCTATATTTAAAAGATTTTATAAAAAATAACATTTATGAAATTAGGTATTATATTTTGATTATTATTAATTAATATTCCTCTCCCTATCTTCTTTCTCTCTCTAGGATTAAAAGCTGGCATTTTTTATTTTGTAGTAATAGAAAAAAGTGTTCAAAAGTGTTGGCGGTGTATATATGGTGCAGGCTATCAAATTTCTTCTCCTCCTCACATCGCAGCTCGCCTTCCAAGAATCAAGATCCCGAAGAAGTACGTGTTGCTCTTCGAATTGAAATCAATTCCTATTTTCTTCTTTGCTTATAAATCTAGTGAATGTGACTGTAATTTCTCATAGTATTAGTTTTTGTTCTTCGCATATTTACTTTATGAATTTCTCTTCATCGTTCTACATAATTCCAGAGGTTTCTCGTTCGTAATTTATCACTTCACTCACTGACGGTTTCTCAAATTTTAATTGATCTGATTTTAATTTTTTGATTGAAATATAGATGGCTTCAGCCCAACCTGTAGTCCAACCTCAACCCCAACCTTCATCCCAACCCCAATTCCAACTTCGTAGTGTCCTCGATAACCTCAAATCTATCGACGCATGTCACGGCAAATTGACGGAAATAAAGGAGGCAGGAGGATTGGACAGTTTGGAGACCATACAAACTAGCGAAGCTCTAACAGGATTCGAGTCCAGACGATCAGGCCTTATTTGCCTCTTGAAGAGAAAGGCTTCTAACGAACTGAAGAGTAGGGGAGGAATATATCGAGGACAAAGGAGGCTTGATCGTCTGAACTTGAATCATGTTAGAGCTTCGCTAGTTTGTATGGTCTCCAGACTGTCCAATCCTCCGGCCTCCTTTACTTCCATCAATTTGCCATGACAGGCGTCGACAGATTTGAGGTTATCGAGGACACGACGAAGTTGGAATTGGGGTTCGGATGAAGGTTGGACTACGGGTTGGGCTGAAGCCATCTATATTTCAATCAAACAATTAACATCATATAAAATTAAAATCTGAGAAAACGTCAGTGAGTGAAGTGATCGATTATAAACGAGAAACATCTGGAATTATGTAGAACGAAGAAGAGAAATTCATAAAGTAAATATGCGAAGAACGGAAACTAATACTATGAGAAATTACAATCACATTCACTAGATTTATAAGTAAATATGCAGGGAAGAAAAATAGGAATTGATTTCAACACGAAGAGCATCACGTACCTCTTCAGGATCTTGATTCTTGGAAGGCGATCTGCGACGTGAGGAGGAGAAGAAATTTGATAGCCTACACTATACATACACCACCAACACTTTTGAACACTTTTTTTTTTCTGTTAACACAAAATAAAAAATGCTAGCTTTTAATCCTAGAGAGAGAAAGAAGGGAGGGAGAGGAATATTTATTAATAATAGTCAAAATTTAATACCTAATTTTATAAATGTCATTTTTTTATAAATTTTTTTAAATATAGTAGAAAAATCACTTAAATAGACCTAAATACCCTCAAAATTAAAACCAACTAAAAAACCCTATTGGATCAGAATTTTGGAAAAATGAGAGGCCACTACATTTTGTGGGTGATGTCATAGCGTTCCCAGTCAATACCAATGAAATCAAGGATCTTAGTATAACTTTTCATTTTCACCTGTGGCTTCAATACGTATGAATGAACATGAGATAGGCACTTGTGTTACTTTGGCTGTAATGTTTAATGGGATTTCGCGGCTATTACTATGTTTGTCTAGTTTCACGTTGTTGTTGGACTCATATGGTTAGAAATTACACCTACACGAATTTTGTGATTGCTGATATTTAATCACGCATATTATGAGTGTTACTTGACCTTCGCCATATGTTTTCTCTGCTATTTCACTCTCTGCCTTTCGATTTGTTTCTCTCTCACACCATTAATTAGGCTAAATTGGATTAATGCCTTTCGATTTGTTTCTCTCTCACACCATTAATTAGGCTAAATTGGATTAATGGTCTCCCATAAAAAAATGATTAAATGTGACATGGATGACTATTTTTTAATCTTACATCTAGTATTATTGAAAAAACAATCTTATTTGGGGATTAAAGTAAAGATTTTTTTATAAATAAATTAGGATTTAGGAATTTATAAATATTTAACAAAATTAAAGGTGACTCTTAATTAGGTAACATAAAGTTCCAAATCGGCCAAATTCAAAAGTGCGTGAACTAAATTGGTGGCGAATGACTGGAAATATTTAAGCCGAAATACAACACACCTACCTGTATAGTAAATTCTCGTGCTCATCATCGTTCGGAATGTCGATATTCCACCATCTTGGTCTCAGACGCAATTCCATCCGCTCAATTGCTCATTCCATACGCATTGCCTCCTTCCCTACCCACCTCTTCCACCTCTTCTCCTCCACTGTGGCCTCTCCTGCCCAAGACGTCGAGGACGCCTAGAAGGTGCTTGTTATAAATCCCCAAAGGACTATCCGGATTCCTACTACAGCTATAACTTCTGGTAACTCTAGCTCTGTGTATGGTGGTTCTTGGTTTCACTCAGCTGGTTCGTCCAAGACTAACTACTATCGTGAGGACCTTTTGCAAATAACACCCACCTATAGTCTCTTTAAAGAACGATATGCGGCCTTGGAGCTTACCATTAAAGAGACTATAGGTGGGTGTTTTTTGCAAAAGATCCTTGCGGTAGTAGTCGGTCTTGGACGAACCAGCTGAGTGAAACCAAGAACCACCATACACAGAGCTAGAGTTAACAGAAGTTATAGTTGTAATCGGAATCCGGATAGTCCTTTGGGGATTTATAACAAGCACCTTCTGGGCGTCCTTGACGTCTTGGGCAGGAGAGGCCACACTGGAGAAGAGGTGGAAGAGGTGGGTAGGGAAGGAGGCAATGCGTATGGAATGAGCAATTGAGCGGATAGAATTGCGTTTGAGACAAAGATGGTGGAATATCGACATTCCGAACGATGATGAGCACGAGAATTTACTATATAGGTAGTTGTGTTGTATTTCGGCTTAAATATTTCCAGTCATTCACCAACAATTTAGTTCACACACTTTTGAATTTGGCCGATTTGGAACTTTAGATGAAAATTTAGATGAAAATTTTGATTTAGATGAAAATTTAGGAGGGTAAAGATTGGAAACGCACAGAAAGGGAGGCCTTGTATTTCTGCCAATATGAAATCCAATCCTCCTTGTCCCATCGGCCCTTGACAAACTTCTCCAGAACACATGGTTAATATATAGTCATTACAAAGAGATCTATGAACCATCAATATGAGAATTTTGTGCAAAGATCTATATATCAATTGTGAAAGCATAATTTTTGTGGTTGTGGTATGCTAATGTTCATTTGCAGCACAACAGATGCAAGCTCATAATAAAGCAGAGATGGTCAATGTAAATACAACCTGATCTAACCACAATGTGCAAAAGGAACTCAAGTCCGACACTTATAAATTACTCCTTTCTATAAAACTTGTTGAAATTAAGTTTAGTTCTCTACAAAAATCAAATTAGCATCATAAATTGGCAAAAGGGAAACTGCTTCAAATTTGTGATTTGATATAATTGGACTTTAGAAAAAACTTGATGATTTTGAGGGATCCAATTTAACGGTTAGAAAAAATTTCACTAATTTTCATTATTTAACAAAATTACAAAGGAGAAGTGAGAATAAAATTAAAAAATTAAATGTATATGCACCACACAAAGATTGGATAAACATTTGACGAAGAAATATAGTACACCTGCAATTAGGGTTTAATCAAATTTTGAGTAATTAATCCTTGAAATTAAGCTGATGATCTAAATTAAACAGAAGTTGAAAGGAAATTAGTGAAAGGGAACAAACCTTGATCCATTTGCCTTGCAACAGAGACATGGCTGGAGAACTCTCAGTCACTGTCGAAACTCAGTTGCCGAAGTATCAGTCTTCGACTTGCTCTGCAAAAATCCCCAAATTGTTTAAGATTTCTTCTAAAACAAAAAAAAAAAATCCAAAATTCGACCAACAAAAGTAACAGTGCAGCGAACTCAGCGAAGTCCTCGTCGTCGTCAAAGTCCGAGTCGGCGCCGTGGCTTCCCCGGAGCTGGTTACCGGCAAAAGCGTCGGTGTCTTCGAAGTCGGCGATGTCGAAGTAGGTCGTCCACGACGTTCTCCAGCTCGTCGTTCTGAAACTGCGCCATTTTCGACTGCGGAAAAACTCGGGGATTAACTGAAATTCACAATGGCCATTAAATCGAAACCGAAAGTGGGAGAAGTGGCGAAGGAATTTACCTGGAATTTGTGAATTCAGCTGGCGGGTTGAGAAAAACAGAGTGTGTAGAATTTTCCCAAGAAACGAACAGAAAAAGCGAGCGTCTTTTTTAGGTGGGTGAAAGAAAACGCTCACCCACGGTGCTCAACTTATAGACTTGGGCGAGAGCAAAAGAGATTACTGGAAAGTGACAGCCAGTGGATTATTTTTCGGCATGAATGGAGCCATGGTTTCTCAGAGAGATCAGCGAGCTCACATTTTTTAATTCTCAGAGAGAGAGAGAAAACTGTCGAGCTTTTGCAGAAGGCGAAGTGTGTTTTGTCGAGGTAACGAACGGAGATGAGAGAGAGAGGTGGAGCGGCTAGGGTTTGGGTATGGAAGAGTTGAAAAATGGAGAGAGCAGATTCAATGGCAGTATTAAAAAAAATAAGAATAAATTTACAAAACTAATTATCTTATGCATTTTTTTTTTAGGAAAATTAATAAAAAAGTTTTGAAAACTTTGAGTTTTAATGATAAGGACAAAATAAAGGGTAAAATAAATAGTACTATGTTTGACTTTTTAGTGTAAAAATATAATTTTTCGTTAAAGTAAACAGTACCGCGAACTTTTCGTTAAAACTTCCTTTTTTTTTTTTTGCTGCTTTTGATTATGTATAAGAGATGATTATGTATCTCATCGTTGCTCTGGCTTTATATATAAGAGATGATTATGTATCTCATCGAATGTGGATGTACCCGTTAATCTGAGAATTTATCGATTCAACTCTCGAAATTACGGTATCGATATTAACATATATAAAATAGAATTATATCACATTTTCCTTTTGGACTATTGAGCCAAAAGTTCATTTATTTAAATTTTTATAGCAATTGGTGATTGGCGCGTGGTTCTGAGAGCCCATAAGTTTGGGCTGCCTTGCACCATAATTGGACCATCCTAATTGGTGATTGGCGCGTGGTCATATAGCTCGAACCAATTTGTATGGATTTTATTTCTTATTTATTTTATATTTTACTTTATTTTTCTGTTCAACAAGGGATCAACAATCTTTCTTCGTTGCATGCAGACTCAATGGCAAGAGAATACTTATTATTGACCCAAGCTTCAATATTTGACACCAACAATTTTTCATCAAAAATAAAAAACAGAAAGATCTACAATTATTCTGAAACATGCATTCCATGCAAACAGACAACACCTGAACCAATTCTTCTACAGTACTGCACTCTCATCACCATCAACTGTCTCTGCTTCGTTTCCTTCTTTGAGGCTAATTTCCCTCAAATTCCTTCCGTTTCACCCTGAATTTCCACCCAAAAAACCAAAGAATTAACACGAGCTACAATAACAACACTAACGCATTCAACAACCATGAGAATAAGTGAGTCTTACATACCCATCTTCTGCGAACAAGCCATTGGATGGGATTAAGCCTGGACATTGCTAAAAAAACAAAATCTTCAAGCCAAAGGTCCAAAATCCGTGTGAATACCGTCAGAATCACCTTTCCCCTGTCCAAAATCCACCGCCTTAGCGGTCCCGGACTTTCGTCCGCGGATGCGGCGGCGGCGGCGGCGGAGGCGACGGAGGCGGCAGCGGTGGAGGTCGCTCCTTGCTGGTCAAGCTGCTGCTGCAGTGGGTTTAGGGCATCGACGATAGCCTCCAAGATCTTCCAGTCTTTTTCAGACTGGACATTTCCGACAAGTTCAACGTGCAAACTTCCTCCCCCGTTGTTAACCAGTTCTTGGGTCATCAACCTCTTCAAGAGAGAGAAGAGGCTCCTTTGTCCTGACGCCATCCTCGATACAGCTTCGTCGATTATTTCTTCCATTTCCGCACAGTTCAATCCTCCCGCCTCCTTCTCTTTCATCAAACTGCGGTGGCAATCTTGGATATATAGATCGGAGGAGAGTTAGGACCCGCCGAGCTCGGACTCCGGGTTCCGCTGCAGTTTCGATTTCATACTGGGCAGCAGGTTCGACATAGGTTTGCTCTTCGGACATGATTATTGATTCTTGTATTGGATGGGGGTACATACATGCACTGATGAATCCAACTTCTAACTTTTGAATCCAATATATAAGCAACTTCTTACTATTGAATCCAACTGAATATGAAGGGTGAGAGATGAGTGTTACAGAATGAAGGGTGAGAGATGGGGTGCTCTAGAAGTGGTCCACGCCACGTCCCCATCAATCTATGTGTACATACGTGCTTTAATAATATAAAATGTGCTGCTTTGGACTTTTGTTCACGCGCAGGACAGGCAATTGAACTAGATTTCCAATTTCGACTGTTCAAATCACTCACGATATTATCTACACTAAAGATGAAGGATGGTCTTAGTCTCACAATAGGCTAGTAATAATGTAGTTCAAACTCGCATTTGACGAGAATCAAACCTACGACATCTCACTTACAAGTTAAGTGGAATTAGTTAAATATTTCATTTTGTTATATCCATAGCAGTCATAGTATGTACTAATATAGTTACGATGTAGATTCTTATTTAAGCTTCTATCGTGTGCATATCTAACTTAGTCAGTTACGATTTGCTTGAAACTCTAAAAATCGATACCGATTGCGATTATACAAATGAAGTTTATTTATTCAATTTTAACTCAACCTTATAAAACTATCCATTTTAATTAAGTTTGGACTTGGAGATTCCTAACTAGTAATACAATTTAGTGGTATTTTTCTCTTAATACTCTTTGAACAAATAAAAAGTAAATTTTAGCCATGTTATTGCGAATATAGGAGTAATTCATAGCCAAAGAGAAACAGTCCCGTTAAGAAACTTCAAAATTTATTAAAACACCAAGTGAGCCAACAAAAATGATTAATGAAAATTACTCCATGTTTTGTTTTGTTGTCTTAGTGGTTAAGTTGATGTTATTCCGCGATGCAAGATATACGTGGCAAGTTTCACACGGGGCCTACCCACTTGACGAAAGCGAGACTATTTGATCGAGACCCACAAATCAAGCCCGCCACGTAAGCAGGTTACTAATGCGGACATTGTGGACAGGGCACGGAACTCAGACCGATCAATTAAACCCATTATTATAGAGTTTACTGGGGTAAACTAGACGATAAATTTTTCCTTATGATCGGAATACGGATAATATATCATGTGTTTTTATAAGAGTGGTGAAAAATCTCTCAAACTGGACGTGTCAAGATAAGAGGTGAGCATAGGGATGACAACGGATCAGTTTTGGGGACGGAAATGTTATATTCATCATTATAATCAAGAAAATTAATCATATTCATAACCGCAAATTAACCATCGGGTGTTATCCATAACCATACATACCGGATAATGAATTTCTCATCGGTTAACGGTTATATCCATTCTTGTCAATAAAATTATATATATATTCGTCCAATTGATGCATTATAATTTAGTAAATATTAATCTTGTCATTAAATATTTGATGTATAAAATGATTTAATTAATGGATCTTATGGATCATCCCTTCGGGGACATCAGATAAAAATGGATCTTGTGGAGCATAAAAATTAAAGCTAAACATTGATAATGTTGGTTGATCTTTGATATCTCCCTTAAGTACAATTGAATAAATTCAACTTTTGATTAATACCCGGTATAAGATTAAGAATTGAATTTAGTCATTTGATCCGCTTTATATGTCATCATGCATAATCCACATCATTTCACCCATTTTACATTGATTTTATTTTCTTTCTTCCAATTATATCCTCGTGAACAATAATTGTTTTTATGAGAGATGTTGCAAAATTTATTACTCATTTGACATTCAAATATTTGCATTTAATTTAGGGAACTTTAACGAAAAACTCTCGCTACTGTTCACTTTAACAAAAAATCACATTTTTACACAAAAAAGTCAATCCTGATACTATTCACTTTACCTTTATTTTGTCCTTATCGTTAAAATTCAAAGTTTTCAAGCTCTTTTCATTAGTTTTCCTTTTAATTTATTACTCATTTGAGAAATTTTGTAGAATTTATTACTCATTTGATATAAGGTGATGATCCTCTCTCTCTCTCTCTCTCTCTCTCTCTCTCTCTCTCTCTCTCTCTCTCTCTCTCTCTCCCCTACAAGACAACCAGCCATACTGCTCCACGGTGAGTCGGTGACCACCACTCCTCTCCATAGCGTCGGCCAAAGGCTCACATTATCTCCATAAACTCCATTTCAGTCTCCGAAATAAAAACTTAGACTTCATGATTTTTGATTTTGCATCTTCTAGTTTGAATTTGCCTAAATTTTTTTTATTAATCTGAATGGAACTTTCCATTTGATGATTGTTATATCTAAATATATGAAGCCTTTTTTCCATTTTTCACAACAATAGTGATCTCAACAAGAAGCCTTTTTTTTTATAGCTACATTATACTTTTGAGAACTATATAGGTACATACATTTGGTACATATACTTCGTACAATATTTCGATACATATATTTCGGTACACATGCTTGGTACATATATTTCGGTACACATGTTTAGGTACTATATTTCGGTACATTTATATACTTTGGTGCACATACGTCGGTACACGTACTTTGGTACACATGTTTAGGTACAATCATTTTATAATTGTTTGGTATATACTCTTTACATTGCAACTTGCATAATGATAGACTTTACGTATTTTGCATTTTTTTCTTAACGTTTCATTAATATTTTTTTGTTATGGTTTTTCATTCAAGTGCATTTATTAATAGAGGAAGTCAATGATAATGGCAAAAAAATCTGGATCAAATGTCATAGCCCGTCCCGAAAAATTAATTTTCGATAATGTGAAATGACAATTTTGTCCGTGGACAGGAAAATTTTAGTGTGTATGTGTGACATATTGAGACTTAGAGATTTTTGTGTGGTTTTGGGTTGGTGACCACGTGGATCACACACACACCACACTCACTCCCTCTCTCTTCCTTCCCGTGCCCTTTCTCCCTCGCAGACTCTCTCCATCTCCCCTCTCTTTTGTACGGACATCACCCAAAACCCCTGGAAACGTAGCAGATCGAAGATTCTAAAGGCACCATTGCATTCCTTGGGTCATTTCGAGTTGGTTGGTACCCATTTCAGGTAAGGATCCCTTCGAAATCTCAAGAACCCGTAACCCAATTTTCATGCACTATTCATGTGGACGTAAAACCTTGTGTTTCAGAGGATTTCAAGCTCACAGAGAGCTTTAGGAGGTCCTAAGGAAGCTTGGGATAGTTCGTTGGAAGAGTTTGGACGTCGGAGGGCCGAGATCGAAGCTTTTTAAAGTTGACTGGATTATCGAGCTTCCTCAGGTAAATTCTGGTGGATTTCAAGGCTTAAAAGTAGTATAACGTGATTCTACATGTTATTAGCTTCATTTTGGTACCAATTGCATGAAAAATGGTGAAGAAACGAAGGAGAATA